ACAAATGTTTCCGCGAACTGACAGTTTTTAGGTTAGAAAGGTGCAAAAGTGCAAAATCACTCCAGCATCCCCTTAAGAAGACTTTCTTTCTCTGTCTCACCATCGTGACAAGGGAGAATCACGCCTGTGTAGTACTGAGTAGGCGATTCTTTTCTTTCACGATGGTGTAAGACAGAGAAAGAAAGTCTTAAATCTTCTTCCTCTCTCTCTTCACAAGCTTCAGCTTATTCAATGGGACGCTCAGTCTATTTTTACTATGTCTATGTACTTAGGTAAACGTAGATTAGTAAGTGTATACCACATGAGTCCATTTATGAATTCAGAAGCCTTTAGAATAGCAAATGTGTCATATTTAAAATACGCAAACAACACTATGGAATAAAGGAACTTGAGGTGTTTCAGCACTAAACGATGCAAGCTGACCTAAATTGCAGTGTGTGCGTCAAAACTCAATAGTGTCAAAAAGTGACTTAGGGTGTTTCAGCAATACACGATTCATTTGCGTAACATACAAATTATGTGACTCTTGTGTACAGACCGGACGGTGTTTCATTAATCGAACCAAATCAGAGAACAACATGGTATATCATAGAAATTAAATTTAGAAACCTAAGAAAAATCTATTCGCTCGAATAAATTAGGTAACTTCTAACTCACTCGAGTGAATAGACTTTTTATTAAGCTTCTAAACTTAATTTCAACGATACCACGCTGTTCTCTGATTCAGTCCGATTAGCGGAGCACTGTCTGCACACAAAAGCCACAATAATTTGTATATTAGACAAATGTTTTCATGAATCGACATTTCTGGATGCAAAAAGTGCAAAAGAAGCGGAATCACTCCAGCATCCCTTTAACGGCGGAATAACTTGACTAACGCGCAACGCTCTTAAATTCTGCCGCAAATTCGCTTCGTTTTTACGCCGGCGGAATTTAATAACAATTTCCTATGCACGGCCATATAGTGGGATTATCTTTTTCACGCATTATCGTTTCTCTTTGCGCTTTCGCAAATTGCATTACGCTACGGCGAGAACCGGTATAACCGGCAACTACATTACGGCATAACCAGTTGCTCCTGGCCGGCCTGCTATTTGCCCGTAGTCGGTCAGGGTACGCTCGGATGTGTAGACTAGAGCTCGCTATCCATATCTGACGTCCGGCGAAATTGTAAACTGTAGAATGGAGTACACGATTACGTTTCACATCGTGCCGAATCTCCGCCGGCAGTCCGGTGAAGTAGAAGTGAAATATCAATATACCCGAGCGCGTAATATATATTCCATTCGCGTATTCATTCGGCCGTGCTTCCGCTTCGATCTTTCGCTGCGTGTCACAGATTGCGCAATTATTATTACCGTTAATTTAATCGCGCGGAACAATGGGGACATCGATTACGTGCAAATAAACGTCAACGCCTCGTATCGGTCAAATTAAAACGTCGTCCCTCTGAGCGGGGAATCGTAATAATTAAATTTGCGTCAAGTACAATCGCGATGCGCCCGCGCCGGGGATCCGCCGTTGCCGGACACGGCCGGGGAGAAGAAGACGGCCTCGCCATTTATAATTCACTACCTGTGGGGATCTGAAAGTCAAATCCGAGTGATTGACTCGCAAGCGACCCGTTTTATCGCTGCTTCTTTAAACGATTCTAAATCAAGCAACCGAGATATCTGCTGAGGAATCTTTGATCATTGTAATTAAAATCGATGAATCTGTCGTGAAAGAAAAGAACGTCTTGGCTTCTTTTATCGTCGTTTCTCCTGATCCTCCTCCTTTTAATTACGATGATCGAGTGCGACACGCACACGCGAAAATAATGACGGAACGCTGCCTTTACGTCTTGGTCTCTTTCTTATTTACTGATTGAAGTGGTACGCGCGCGGCGTAATTGCGAACGTGGAAGCGCGTGTGCGTGCGCTCGCTCGCATGAAATCGCGAGAGCTCGTCGCTTCATTCGGAATATTCTAAGGAAAATGCAAATACCGCCTGGAAGTTTGGCCAAGGGGAATCACGCGTGTCGATCCGCACGTATGTGTGTGTGTGTGTGTAAGCGTGTGTGCATGCATGCACATCCCGGGACAGGCATCCCCCGCATCTGTTTGTATTCCGCAGTCGGATGCCTGTGAGGAAATTGCGGCGTCTTCGGCGAAATCCGCGACGCCGTCACCGCGATTTCCGGCACCGACCCCGGCGCCCCCCCGCAGTTCTCCATCTCCCTCGCCTATTAAGGCCCCGATCTGGGGGCGATTGATGTTCCAGGTCGGTTGGGTAAAGGCGGACACGAAGGCGATCCAGGCGATACACGACCACGTGATCACGCACAACCAGAGGGTGTCCGTGTCCCATAGCGACCACTCGATATGGAACCTGCACATCAAGGGCGTCCAGAAAGAGGACGGCGGCCTTTATATGTGTCAAATCAATACGGATCCCATGAAGAGTCAGGTATATACCGCACTAAACTCCTTGAAATTGATACAGGCCGACGAATACGGAGCGATGATCAATTCGGGCACGTGTCGCCGCAAAGCCCCCGACCGATCCGAGCAGTCGGGGCTTCGCTGAGAAAGAAAATGATGTCGCAACTGCAGCGACAATTTTCTAGATACGAAAAAATAACGGAGATATCTAAATGAATAGCGGAATACCGCGAAATCGCGTATGTTTTGTCTTTAATCAATTTAAATAACAGAAACGGAATTTCTCTCTGAACTGTTGGCGCATGTTGGGAAGAAAGTCTTTTCGTGACGCCCATCCATTATAACATTTGATTGCGGTACATAAACTATTGTAATATTAGCTATTGTTCCACACACAGATACTTAATATGATTATATCAGTAATTATATAAAAAAAAGGTATCGACTATCATAAGTAAGGAAGTAGAACAGGCAACAGAGACTTAATTAACTGCAGAACTATAAGGATAATACAGAACATAGATGGCTTACGCCTAGTAAATCTTAGATGTAATTAAAGTAATATTCCAACATAAACAGTTATATTCCTTGCAAAGATTGTTCTAGCAATGGTACTGAAATTCATTTTTATCCGATGTGAATGATTAATAAAATTGAGTGAAGCTTATTGTCGCCAGTTGTAATTAAACAAAGGGAATTTTTTTTAAAAGTCGACCAGATTGACAAACAATGATCTTTATTTAAGTCACAACGTTTCGACCTCTTTATCGGATCCTTTTCAAGTACAATCTGGAAACAAGTTTCAAATGCTCAAACCGCAATACAAAGAAAAGAACTTTTAGTATGTACATAAGTATATGTATTACAAAGGAGAAAAATACCTAATGTTGACTGAAAACATTAATTTATGCCGAAACAAAATGAGTTCATGAGTCTGTGACAGCAAATTTATCATGTTATATTTTATTATAATACAAATTTATATCTGAAATTATTACGGGTAAAAATAAATAGATAAATCGTAAGATAATAAGTTAGAGAAATTAATTAATGAATAAATTAGGAGTAGGAATCAAAAACCAGTCAAAAAATAGATAAAAGTAAGATAATAAGTTAGAGAAATTAATTAATTAATAAATATAGTGCAAGAGTAAAAAAAAAAGATTAATATTTAATCATGTAGACCTAAACTCTTCGAAAGGTATTCCTAGGAAGTTGCTGCTACAAATTTTGTAGGCTACAAACAATCAGTATCTTCTAACAGATACACTAAGTAGCGAAAAATTTTTGTTGCGAGGCCTAGAAATCCAGGCGTCAGTCAGATAGTTTTTTTTAGTGACTCCTTCATCCCCGAACAATGCCAGCGAGTCGTTTATTTACTGCATCTTGCAGATACAATTGGAAGCGCTTCTTTTCGAGACTGTCCGATGTATAACGATGCTGTCGATTTATTCGCGAGTGACTATCGCGAGCGAATTAACCGTCAGTCTCGCCGAAAGTTTTTCCAATTGTCACGCGTTTCAATTACGAACTTTCCGGCCCATTCGTTCGAATCGGGACGTCCGTTTCGGGCGTTTCTAGCCGCGCCTTAATGTTTCTCGTCGCGGCGTTAATGCCGACCAGCCAGGGTAAATCTAACGAGGCACAAGTTCCGCGAGCGATCGCGGGCACGCGAGAGCGACGACATCGCGGCGACGGTAGTGGAAGTATCGTTAGGAAGTTCCCGGGGGAACGCTTCTAATAGCAGTTCGGCGCCGTTTTAGAAATGCGCGAAGCCGCGGAAGGAACGCGCGGAATTTACTTAGGCGCGGAAACGGCGGTCTATTCGCCCGCTTCGAGCATTTTCGGTAGTTACGCTCTCCTCCTTCGCTCGTCTAACTAAAACGGCTAAAGCGGTTTCTTCAGAATTCCCTGAAAGAAACGGCTAGATTTGCTAAACGCACGTGCCAGGGTGATCGTGACAATTTTAACTACGATAAATAACATTTATTCAACGTTTTCATTTTTCAATACTTCTTCGGGTGTCAGACGCTCTCCTCCTTCGCTCGTCTAACTAAAATGACTAAAGTGGTTTTTTCAGAATTTAAAAAAAATGGCTTGATTTGCCAAACGTACGTGCCAGGGTGAGGGTGACAATTTTAACTACGATAAATAAAATTTATTCAACATTTTCATTTTTCTATAATTCTTCGAGTGTCAGATACTCCGGAGCCAATGGCGATAACTTAATTGAGCTGGAAGTTCAATTGAATAAAAAGTTATTTATACTTTTTCACGCCGCACCTATGTTTTCTATTAAATACTCATCTCGTTACTTCGCCTCGGTGTGTAAGCCTGATACATATAATCCTTGTTTGAAATTAGCCGTGGTGAACCAACAAACTCGGTGAAATAACTAATTGGGACGACCCTATCGACTGTATTTAGGTCGATAAAACATGGAGACCGGTTTGTCAGCGGACGAAAGGTCACATGATTTCGACGAGGTAAATTCGTCCCTCACATTATGTATATTTTATTACATATTTTATCTGGTAATGTTATATGCACATGTTACGTAAACACGTTACGAAGATTTCATTTAGTACGTTTGGGCATAATCTATATCATAGATGGACCAAAATCATGAAAATTTCACTCCACTGCATTAAGTTTCAGTTTATAAATCGTACTAGGTTTATCTTGATTTTAATATGAAAACTGCGCACGATTCGACAAAAATATAAGCTTGATACATTAATTTTTATTTAATAAAGACGCATAAAAGAAATTCGATAAGGTAACGTATTGTAATATTTCTCTCTCTCTCTCTCTCTCTCTCTCTCTCTCTCGCGTGCGCGCGTTTTTTTCTCTCTGCGACGAGTATATTTTCAACAAAATATACCCTATAAAATAATGGTAATGTGGGTAAATAAATATTCCATGCCGTTCCACGACAATCGATTTTAAGAAAACGCGACTTCTCGTGTTCTTGCCTGAACTTAACTTCGCGAAGGATAACCGTTTTCCAATAGAGATATAGTTCATAAAATAACCAGCGAATGTGAATCGTATCTTTAGCGTTTTCTATTTTCAGAATAATCTGAGAGAAAAATTGTTCCGCACGTCATAAACGATCTCGCAATCAAGCACGAGAAATAAGTTAAGGTCTTTGTATAGGAATTGTCTAAAAATACTTGCCTATATTTTCATTTATTCGTGGACGCTGATCATTTGAAATCGATTACTTTTTAATGGAAGCTCGTTAAGCTGAACATTTTCGCGATCTTTTAACGTCGAGATGTCTTGACATTTTTTGCGACTGAAAAATAAATAGGGCACAATTTGTATTTGTCAACGTAATCGCCGATCTTGTTTTGCATTTCGCGGTATACGCCGCGAAAATCGGTTGCGATAAGTTGCCGAACTGCGAGCGAAACAATTAATCGAGCGACCCGCTGCCGGTGATGCCCGGCATCGATAAAGTGCCAAGATGCGCCCGAGTTAATCGATAGTTTCTCAGTTACAATCGGACCGCGTCCCACTTGGCTCACGCAATTAATCATCCCCCGGGCTTCAGTTTGCCAACTATCATTAACATAATCCATTGGTATAATACGCACGATCGTATTCACATTAGAACATAGGGAATCAGGGATATCTTTCGAGGACTACGTTGTCTCGTTAAACTTTCATCCGAAGAGAATGTCTTTCCCTCGCTGAAAGTCACCGCCTTTCGAACTACGATACCCAAGTGCTACTGGGACCGAATCTAAAATTGAGAAATCTGGGAGTTAAACCTAATCGTTGACAGAGAAATATTGATCGATTAGATGAATTTCGAAACCGCGCAATCTACCACAAACGTAACACAATAGCTGGCCGATAAATGTAATCTTGGTTTAATAATCAAGTTTGCTGGTTTACTGGTTTATTCATGATAAACATCGCGTATCATTATCGTTATTCGCGTTTCCGATGAAACCTTGATGCGACGTGAGCGCGAGAGAGCGGGGAGGCCGTGGCGAAAGAGACGCAAACGGAGCGGAGAAGAGATCTGGAGCGCGCGAGAGCGGAGGCGCGGCGACAATCGCTCGCAGCCTCGTTTACACACATCTCGATACTTTCCGCCGCCCGTAATCGTCGTCGGTGACGCGCGATAGCAAACCGCAGGGATATTAACCGTCTACCGTCGAGCTGCCGTCGAGTATTAGCTGCCGCCGACATAACAATCTGCACAAGTATCGAAGGCATTTCGCGTGCGCGCGGCTGGCAGACCCGCGGCATACTTAACGAGCCCGGGAACTTAACGAGCCGTCCTCGTCAGTTCGGCTACACGTTTATGAACACCGCCTCAAGTGGCGCTTAAATCCTCCTCATCTCTCCTCACCCGCCGACCCGTTTCGAATTACGGCTGCGTATATAGTCTTATCAGAAAAGGATTGGAATATTAAGTCGCGTTTAACGACTATTCTATACGCGGCCGGCATAGTAATCGCCGATAAGTTGATCCGCTCCTCTCGCTCCGCCCCGAGTCTACTTGTACCATATATGCGACTGTTGAAAAATCACAAAATATTAATTGCCAAATATACATTTTTTTTCCGACCGCACGCAAATTCATTTGAGTCAAACAACGACGTGGCAACGAGCGAGTCTTGAAAACTCGCACGCTCTCTCTTTACATACGCGACATTGCGCGGTTTAGACGGTAATTAGTCGCGTAAAACTTACGAGCCTCGCGAGCGCGGAGCCGCAGAGATTTTTCTCGCGGTGCGAAAGACGCTTAACGAGCCACTTTAGTTTAACGCGCGCCAGTCCGCGCTCGTCCCCTCGGATAACATTTGCGTTGTCTTACCGGAGAGAGCGGAGTCGACCGCGGTTGTCTGGTTGCTTTAAAGTAACACCTCATCCGCCTCTTGCCGGCAAAGTGATACGGTACGAGACGCCACTGGAAGTCGAGATCTAATTTTCCGACATTTCGGATTGAATTCGCCCGAGCCCCGCCCCTGCCAGCCGGAGTTTCCCTCTTTTCGCGAAGGAAGA